GTTTGCCCGCAAAATCTCCCCCGGCAGCTCCGGTGCGGGGCTGCGCGCCTCGGGCCCCTCAGCAAAATCCCCTTTTTTAAAAGATCTGCCTGCTCGATCCGAAGGGCTGCCCCTCTCGAAGCGAGCCCTGGTTTTGCAGCATTTATTTGGAGCATTTGATTCTAATTATCTGCGGAATCCAGCCTTCTAATTGCGACTGGAAAAAAGCAACTCCCTAGATTCCAGTTTTATCCGCCGCTTCCCCCCAGCCCCGCTACCCCCCGGAAAAAGAGGGTCAAGTACAAGATTTACAGGAAAAAAATAGAAGTTGTGCGAGTGCGTCAAGTGTTCCAGCATTTAAAAAGTAACAGGAACGTGGTGGTTTTGAGAGCATTTTGTTTAATTACTGCGACATATAATCACCTTGAAATACAGCGTACACTTCAAATTTAAATGTAACACTGTTTAAATGTGCCTGAATGTCCGTATGCCTTCTATGTGAAAATGAATATAGCCTGTTAAAGTGCGAAGCGGGATTTTATTTTATTTAAAAATTCTCTCATTTCCTTATTAGTAATTTCTCAAGACTTCAGCCTTCAGTTTGCGGAGTCACAAAGTGAGTTACCTTTGGGCAAAGTCTTTTTAAATATAATTTTACAAAACGTCTTTTTAAAAAATATTGTCTTTAAGGCTCAAGGTGTGCTTTATGTGTTGAACTTGCAAGCGAGGATTAAATTGGACTTCTCTTCCAGGGCCCAATCCAAAGCTTAATGAGATTGTGGAAGAGTTTCTCTTCCCCTGGGCATCGGACCGGGGGCTTTGCAGTGCTCTTGCACACTTGGCAAAACGTTTTGTTTTTTCCCTCATGTGACATATAATTAACATACATTTCTATGATGCCTGTCTCTTTGCGTTCTCATAGCTCTTTAATAAGTTTACCTTACTGAAATTCTGTGAGTCGGGTAAATCGTATTTCATCTGTTTTAGAGGTGGCTGAGTCAAAGCAATAATCACTATTTTTAGTCCATCTTTTCAAAGGCAGCCTCTCCCGCGGAGTACCTTCCTCGGAAGATTCGAACCTCGCTGCATGACTGAGGCTGGGAAGGGATTTGTGGGACACTCGGAGCTTTGGGGCAAGCCCACGGAGGTAGGAACGAAAACAAGAGACCCTATTTTCTGATCCCTGCCTCCAACTACAAGTCAAATTCCTGCCAAAGAAGCCCCCAAGGTTTTTTTTCATTGGTTTTCTTCCCCCTCGCATGCTGCTGCCTTTCACGGCTCCCCAGCTCTGCCCGCGGCAGGGAATTGCGTTTCCCAGCCCACACACTTGAATTCCTTTTTGTCCGACGCAGGTAGAAGGAGGAGGACAACTTTAGGTAGTTGCTTCCTCTTACTCCAGAGATGGGCACGGGGTAGCGCCTGGAACCAGAGCAGGGTACGTGTCCTGCTTCCCGTCTGGTTTTGTGACCTTGCACAAACCATTTCATGTCTCCGAGCGTCAGTTCTCAGCCGAGCTGGCGGAGGGAGCAGCGTTGCCCTGCCTCGCAGACCGATCCGAGCTGGGTGAGGCTGCGAGAAGCTGAGATGACACAGGGAGAGGAGGCAGCTGGAGCACCCTGGAAACTTCAGTAGCTCCAGTTTCCCGAGAAGTTCACTCATCCATGAAATGGAATGAGATTACGCTGGGACAAGAAGTGGGTTCAAGTGGCGTCATTTGTCTTACGGGGTCTCGTGTTCAAATTTTGTATGATGAAGTACCAGCGATGTTTGCATAAGGATGGGCAAATGATGGAGCTGCAGGGCAGGTCTTGCAGTGATCCCACACGGTCCATCATCTAGACCTGGCCTTACGCTCCTCTGTCTTGACCCAGCCCGCTGCAGGACGGGCCCCGACATCGGGATTTCCAGGAAAAAGGTGCAGATCTGGGAGGGAAGAACCAAGATTCCCATTGCCCAATGGGGCCTTGAAGAGTGCACCCAAGCGGGGTGCGTTTAGAGGGGATTTGGTGGAACAGAGCTGGCTGTTCCTGACAGAGAGCAGGCACAGCAGAGGTCCGC